ACACTTATATCAGAGATAACAACAACAAGGAGTCTGGTGGAACCTTAAAGACTAACAGATTTTATTTGGGGCATAAGTTTCATGGGTAAAAACCTCATTTGCATCTGAAGAAGTGAGGTTTTTACCCACGAAAGCTTATGCCCAAATAAATCTGTTAGTCTTTAAGGTGCCACCAGACTCCTTGTTGTTTTTGTAGATACAGACTTAACACGGCTACCCCCTGATACTTGATCAGAGATAAGAGCATTCAAACACACCTATATCAGAAATAAGAGTGTCCAACACAGGAGTTTGTACTGCTTGAGCTATATAATCAGTTTAAAGTCACATCTTCAATTATATTGCTGCAACCTTCCTAAGGAGACAAGGCCTAAATTACTTGCTCAACGTCTCACAAAGTACACCTCTACCTCGATATAACGCTGTCCTTGGGAGCCAAAAACTCTTACCGCGTTATATTGAACTTGCTTTAATCCACTGGAGTGCGCAGCCCCGCCCCCCTGGAGCACTGCTTTACCACGTTATATCCGAATTAGTGTTATATTGGGTCACGTTATATCAAGGTAGCGGTGTATGTGGCAAAGTAAAGAACTGAACCCAGGTCTCTTTCAAGTCACAGGCTTGTGTCTTAGCCATTGGGCCACATGTCCTTTGTTCCAATCATTTTATCCTGGTCTAAGGTTGAAGTCCTTGTACTGTTTCCCCATCATATGAAGTTTTAGAAAACCACTGGATACACAGTAATTGCAGACTGGTCTCTTTTTAAAAGTATTTAATATATACTCATTACTGGAACAAACATTTGACTGGAGGAATTTGGTTCTTTCAATCACTACGAAATTGAAATCAGAGTATAAAGGTATGCTCAGAAATTGTATAATTTTAAAACAAAGAATAAGCACATTAAATAAGGTTATAAACGGTTTCAAATAGGTCTCAAGGCAAGGCATGACGAACAGGAATCTGGAGAATTATATTTAAAGTTAATAACAATAATGAACAAGAGATAATAGGAGAAGTCTACCTCCAAAGAGCTACCATAATGGATTTCAACTTAAATCAGAAGTGAATTTTAATTGTCTCAAAATATTTATTCCCAGATTCTCATTTTGATAATATGATTATGAACAGAGAGAAAGGGGGAGAGAGAGAGGGAGACAAGGAAAAAGAAAAAGCAAGCATGGAAAATTTTCAAAGATGTGAATTCATATACTGTACCTCCTACAAACCTGACTACCTCTACTTTTAGTGAACATGTTTCATGACCTATACCAAGTCATGCCACCCTACAGCCCTTTATTCCTTTCCCTTTTTATACAGGATGGTGACTGAATAGGTTTTATCCTGCTTTCTTTTGTCAATCTATTAGAAAAGATATCTTAATTTTTATTTTTAAATGAACACAAAGTGTCCCAGAAGTGAAATTATACCACACTGTCAGTACTAAAAAGGGAGCTGGTAGCAACCCCTAAAGTTAGGTTGCTTAACATTTTCCATCAAGGAATTTTTTTTAAATACATTTATTTTAATGACAATGTTTTGTGTATTTCATGAAAACTCACTGTTTTAGAAGTCCCTTATGTAATTTTGATATACCCAAGGATGGCAAGTGACACTTGTAAGTAAATATGAAATAAAGTACTAACCCATCCCAATAGAGGCAGCACATTTAGTCTGGTCTTTGATTTCGGTGCGGATAGCACTTGCAAATTCATCAGGAGTCAGTCTGGTCTCTGCAAGGATTTCAGTGATATCTACTAGCGCTTCATCACAACTGACTGCTTCGATGTTATGAGTATAGCTAACAACACAAAGTAAAGGAGGTGAAACAGCAGCAACAGCTCACCATCTGTTAAAACAAATATGCAGCAAGTAAAGTCTTCCTTTTGTGGTGGTACTTCCCTAATTTTTTATTCTCATTATCCCACACAACTTAAACATTTAAAAATATTAATATAGCAAATTACAGTAGCACTACTGTCTCAGACTAATTTCAGTATGAATCATGCTTTTAAAAGATTAGTTGGAGAAGGAAAGTTAAATATTTTATTCTTCACCTGAAAATAACTGACTCCTTTTTTCCCTGCACAGTTAAATGAAATAAAGAAATAATTTTTTTTAAATTTATTCCACAAAAATTCAGTTCTTGAAAATGTGTGTTTAAAGAAATGTTGGTGTCTTGGAAGGGTAGCAGCACATACAACACTTGCTAACTGAAGGCCACAGTCTTCTCCTACTGAAGTCAGTGGAGGTTTTAACACTGACTTTTACAGGAGTCAGACATTGATCATTTTGCAGGATTTGACCTCAAGATACAGAGCAGAATAGGGGGAAATCTCACTCTAAGCTGACTACCCTCCATTATCCAGTCAAGATAAAAAGTTACTACAAAAGGAAGATCTGAGATGGGAATGGTTTGGAAGGGGGGAAATAAATGGGGATAACAGACCCATGAAGATGAAAATCCTGGATCACATAATGGCATTTGGGAATGTGGCAACTGAAAACATGCTTGATCGCTGCCAAGAGTATACAAATACATAATGCACTTTACCTGGCCAGTGTCTCATATACTGTCTGTGTAACTTCTTTGTATGCATGGAAGTCATATGGAACTGCTTGAAGACTTGGACATAGCTGTTTTGCTTGGCCAAAAAACATTCCATTCTTTATCCCAACTTGTCTAAAATCAAATAAAAGCAAGTAAGTTGCATAGATCTGCCTTTGGAAAAAAAAAATCACAAAATTTCAGATATTTACAAGATGAAGTGTTTGTACAGCACCACCTAGCACAATGGGTTTCCAGCCCATAGCCAGGGCTCCTAGATGCCATAGTAATACAAATACATAATTAATAAATAATAATAATAATATTCATACTTTCCCATACCACTACTCCAGACAAAGAACAGATATACAGGAGTTTAATCCACCCATGTAAACAGTCTAATTGATGCAAAAAGTGACTTGCACTATAGTAATTAAATTCAATAATTGTAAGATTTTGTGCTGTGCATCTCAAACAATGAACAAAAGCAGGGCTATTGGGAATATACACAGTAACTTATTTTAAAATTAAATATATATGTATTTTAGACAGGGCTTGCCATCTCCTGCTCTAAGCTACGACAGAATATGCACTATGCAAAACAGTACAACTCTGCCAGAGCATGGAGAAGGAAGGCGGATCAACGTGGTTTATTTTATTATAATGGCACAATTTTTTAAAGTTATGTATTGAACTATCAAATAAATTAAATCTTTGCAAAACCAAGCCATAAAAAAAAAAAAAATAAAATTTTTAAAAAAAAAAAGCCATAAAAAAAAAAAAAAGCAGCTCATCTGCCATAAAATACTCTATCCATGGT